TATTATTTACTCGATGGCGAAATTTTAGTGACAGCAATATCAAAGAATTTTCGAACTGACTACGTTAAAAGAGATTAACTTGAAATTCTAGGATTGGGATTTTAATAGGATTTCAGTCATTTTGCCACTGTATGAGCGTTTTTTGAAAATCTTCTTTCAGCGATTCTAACCTGTATTACTGCTAGGATGTTAGACACGAGAAACGTATCCTTTTGTTGACATAAGAACTCTAATTGCTTCGTAAAGTAATATTTGTCCAATTATCGCTGTCGCTTCTTGTAACTGGCTCTTCCCGCGACCAATGTGAATTCGCGATAAGAGATAGAGCTGATGTAACACTAAAAAGATGGATAGTAAGATCGCCGTGGAAAATCGAATGAGAATACTGATATCATATCGAGATTATTGCGCGCGATAAATTCATGTACACGACGAAACTTTTGCTGATGCAAGGATAAGCGACGTACACATACGGGTTTTATTAAGGACAAGAAAATCGCTGATTTTCAATTTTCCAATATTCTCGCACACGGCACAATTATTTTCGCTGTCGCGTGCATGCGTCTCTGAAAACAAAACTCTTACGAAACGTAGGAGAACACGTTAGTTTTGGAACACCAGGTAAACAAAATTTAGAAAAATTCGTTTCACGAATTGAATCTCGAGAATTGAACGATACGGGAAAACCAAACGTTAACTAATCCTCTTAGGCGCGGATGGTATTTTCATTTCCATTTTGTTACGTGGCTCGTATTTCATAAATTTTGATTAAAATTTTTAAACTTTTCGTATTTATTTATATTACGACATAATTTTAATGTGTCCATAGAAAACTGAAATTTATGAAAAATATATTTTAATTTTAATACGAGTGTCGACGAAACAGCCTTTGCAAAAATAGTTACGAATTTTTGATAGTAGATAGAGAACTAGACTGAAGTTCAAGTAAAAATTAGAAAATACAATGAGATACAGTTTTGCCTTCTCAGAGAAGTGCAGAATTGTTTTCTCAATTTTTAAATCTATCTTGAACCAATCTGTGATTCATTCTGCATCTCAAATGATATTATTTTTATTTGTAGATAGTACAATACTTTAATTTTTAGTCACTCGATAATAATTGCTTTCCATTCTTTTCTATCTTTTGCTTATGATCCAATCTAAATGATTAAATATATTAAAAATAAAATGAAAATAACTTTAGCCTTAGAAATAAATCTTATATTTTATGTAGATTTGGTTTATTTTAGTAATCATTTTCTAAGTCAGCTTGAGGTATTTTATTTTTTATTTATTGAATAAACGGGAAGCCCCAAATTGTATAAAAATGACACGTCTGCAACAATTCTCCTAGATCCAAGTATTAATATTGTAAATAAAATAAAATGAATGCTATCATGTTTAATTTTAAATCTATTAACAAGTGTTTGCTCACAAATTCTTCACGACAAAGAGGTATACGAACCAATTAGAATTTACTGGCCATAAAAGCAAAATATACTTTTAACTGTTCCATTTATTGAGAATATTTTAATATAATATACATACACATAGTAACATAGATGCATTAAAAGTTTTTAATCAGAGAAGTATAAAGTAGGTTAATCTCGGTACAATGTCGATATAACTCAAATGAAATCGTTCGAAAATTTATAAAATTCTACATAGATTTGCAAACACGAATAAACGTCAGCAAAGAAATATAATTGAATAAAATAGAAATAAAAGAAACGAAAGTCCTTGTGACAGCATATCGAAAGATTAAAATCTGAAACACTAATGGTGAAATATTAAACGCAACGAAAGACCTGAAATTCTATAATCGTGTCTTACGTGTACCAACTTAGCATTGCAAAGCGTTTATGCAAGAATGTCACGGAGAATTGTTGAAACAGTGGCCAAAGTAAAATCCGATTTCTCGAAAAATACGCGCGTCCTCCGCACGGTAGGTGAAACGAAAAAACTTGGAAAGTACTTCCGACGATCGGTAAGGGACACAAAATCCGCAGACAGGATTATATGCGCCGCGGCATTGTATCGTGTTTCTGTTCTTTTTGCGGTGACCGTATGCTCATAATGCTGCCGCATATTTCATAACGGGAACAAGCCCGAGGACGTCAACGACGACGGCGTCGGGACGCAGAAAAATGAGAATGAAAGAGTCATTAGCGTGAAACATAGGAGATCATTTCCGGCTGCACTCGATGTCGTTTGCGTAAGAAATTTTGATAATGAGCGTGTGCTCGGCGCGCCATTAATTATTTAAATAATTCTATTCGATCGTTGTATTCGATTTCTCTTCTTAACCGTTAATACGAAAACAAGATTATGACTTCTGTTGCTCTTGGCATTTATAAAAAAGTATTTCTTGCCTCCATATTAATATTAAAAAATTGTAAGTGACAAGCTTGAAATATTCAAAACCTTTGTTGAAAACGTTGTCATTGAGATTTCATTTCAGGTTTGACATTTAATTGGTCGAAGCATAATTGTTATAAATGACATTTTATTTTTTGCGTGAATAAATTCACGTATAAATAATGGCTTAAATGTTCGGATATATACAGGGTGTTTCGCGCCAAATAGTACCTACTGCAGTGCTAAAAAGGGAACACAAAAACGATGAAAAACAATCTATAGCTATTTTGGTGGTTTTGGTCTTAATCGAACGCAGCTAGTGCAATCGATCGTAGTGAAACTGATTTTAAGAAACTTCGATTATGTCCAAAATCATTTCAGTTTATTCGAAATACTCGGTGTTCGGCATTTTTCCGTACACACTTCAGCAAAGTATTCTACAAGTAAAAATATGGCTAAAGTGTTATATAACAAAAAATTCATAAATTCTTCGTTAAGAAGGTATGACAAAAATATGAAATGTGATGGTCTTTTATATATAAAGCAAACACATTTACTAAAATTTTGTGTAAAGAGAGCAACTGCTGGTTGAGGCACGAAAAAATATATTTAACATAGAATTGTGTGAGTAACTTAAACATCTCTTTATCAGAATTTAGTTTCTATCATTTATCTTGGGTGCTGAAGTGTTCTTTCTTCGATGGTAACTTTTTGTTGTCATAAAATTTCGAATTATTGTTCAACTTTATGGTCACCAAATTGCAAAGAAACTCACGATATCGAATGCTTGCAAAAGATTGAGTTTATTTTATTGTACATTTTTTTTCTTATTTTAATGTCTTGAATCTCAACCGAGTTCCACAGTTCGTATTTTTCTTATAACTTCTTAACAAAATATTTATGAATTTTTTATTATATAACATTTTAGACTTGGTTTCAACGCCAATAAGAAAGATGGCGTGAATGATCAACGCCTGAACGCTAATTGAAATTGAATAGACGGAAGACGAAACTTTGCAAAAAAAAAGAAATGAAAGTGGAACATCGACTGGTTTTAATTATCGGGCGCTTATTACTTAATTACTAACGCTTACACGATTCGTTTCCTTGCAAAAACGAGCGACGATAATTAATCGTTCATGCAAAATCAAACAAGACGTGTAATTGGCGCGAAATTACGAGCACTCGGTCAGAAGGGTCCTGTTTGGGCTAAGCGTTGACCATCGGACTCGTATTTGCTACTTCATAATCGATTACCCGCTTCGACTGGTCTGGTCGACCGTTCGCGTCCAACTTCGAGATGAAACCGAGCCTCTATCAGCGTACATAACCGAATCTAAGACCTTGATGTCAATTCGATCGGAAAATCAAGAGTTGTTGATTCGTCCGAGCAACGATTACGTCAAACATTTGCAGTTTCTGGTACAATAAGAAATTACTTCCGGTACGTTGGGTAACGACAATGATATTCGATAATCCTGTAGTCGGCGTTTTAAACAAACCGTAAAATTTTATCACGGTCAGAAACTGTCAAGCTTGGAATAAATCTACCGATAGACGTTTCAACGTTTATCGAACCCACGAATAATCAGTAAAATTAATTGGAATCGAATTTATAATTCACTCGATGTATAAAATTTAGAGAAAGTTTGGAATTCAAGTGAAATTTTATCGACGGGCAAAATTGGTTAAAATGCTATTTTAAATACGCGACTATGAAAGTTCGTCAACTCTATTATAAACTGACGTTTAGTACACGCGGATTGACACATTTTCAAACTCGATTTTCTCGAAAACGAAACTTCGTATAAAAAAATTTTATTCTTTCTTTTCGATTCATTTTTTCGTGATGTATCACTCTTCCCCCCTGCTCGATTGTACTGTTAAACACGCTGTATATTGTTACTTTTAAATTCAACTGCGTTTATAAAATCTCAAATAAATTAAGAATATTCCCTTTATCGAAAGAAAAAAATTCAGAACTCCTTTGATGTCACCGAGTTCGTTTCCTTTATTCGTTTCAATTATGCGGCTCTTTGAGCAAATTTCTAGCGAAATAAATACAAGATCCTCGCCGGTCTTTGGAACGGTGAAACTAACCGCGGAGTTTAATATTTATCTAAAACTGCAAAGAGATATTGATCATCGATTCATTGTCGATTATCAGCACGGTTTGTTTCGTTAAATCGTATCTCGTCCTATTCGAATATTTAATTCTTATCATTGTAACAGAGCGTTATTGAAAATTACCGAATAGTAACAACAAATGAAATAATTAAGTTATGCCTTTATCAAATCGAATACACGCAAAACGACGTGTATCGAAAAATTTGTAGTCGGGTTTCAAAGTATTATACAATAGATCAATAAATCATTAATTAGAGATTAACTTGATTTATGATAACGAGAAAATAAGTATGATTGAACGCTCGCGATGAAGAAACAGTGCTTCTTGCGCGCATAAAGCGTATCCTAGTTCGCGCGAACGAGTTTTAAAGTCTTTGCCGATGGGTATAACGCATCGATAACGTTCAGTTTCCGGTGAGAGAAATAAAAACAGTTTCCGTTTTAAAATGGTAAACACCGCTTCTTCAAACTGTAACGAGTTTGTTGTGAACTTAATTAAAGTAATTACAGGAAAAATGGACCCGCGGCAACGGTATCTCGAAGAGCAAATGCAAAGAACGGAACCGGAAGCAGAGGAATTGCACCGAAACCTTCACGAACTTAGGACCAAGTATTCCGAGTTAGAGCAAGCCTTCGAAATCAATTTGCAGCTGCAGACCAAACGGGAAATTGAATTTAATCGCATGAAACACGAGAAAGAAGGTAAATAAATTGTTATTCCGACCCATTCGATGTATCCGTTTTGACTATATTTTTCGCAAACAGCACCAAACGCCGGAAAATTGTTTTTAGATTTGAATAGTACGATTTTTTTATAATTTTACTTTGGTAACTCGCCTGCGCGAAAAATACAAGATTGTCAAACGTTATCGTCTGTAGCAAATATTATTTGAGCCGTTTGTTTTTAAAGTAAGTCCATTTATGTTCAAATCGAGATACAGATGAAGTAGTAGAATAATGTTTTTGGGTTTCTATGGGTGTCAAATTTATCATCCCAATTAGCATAATTAACATTATTTACGAAATAATGTGTTTTCAATGGCTATGATTGGACTTACGCCAATGAATCGATCAATGAAATGACGTTTTCAATTCTTAAGAAAGCACAAGTCATGTTATATTACAACTTTTATGTTATAAAATCAAAAAAATATTCAACTTTTATTCTTTTTTAAATAATTCTTTACATTAAAATTAATATTGTTTCATTAATTATTATTCAGTCTTCTCCAGTTTGTGTGCAGGTGGTATATAATGTAATAAATCCATTAAGTTCTTGCATTTTAGGTTTGTGAGTGGTCTCGTTGTTTTGTGTAGTAATGCCAACTTGATGAATGTTTTGAATAGTGCATCCTTATTTGTTATCGTTTCGTAGAATAACATATATGGATCGCTTCTAAAAAATCTCATCCAACATATCTTAAACCAATTTACTCTTTCACGGTCACTATTTTTTCATTTCACATTGATAATTCAACTGGTACTTTGATAATACTATGCAACAAAATAAAAAAGCTGGGATCTCATAAAATTTGATTGCACAATATTTTCTCTCACAATGGGATTTACGCCACTTTCAAAATAAACTTTTTCATCGCTTCATTAACCAGCAAATTTTCGTATTACAAAATCTTAATGATTTTAAATATATTAGTAACAAGTTATTAGTTATATTAGTTATATTAGTAACTGACTAGATTTTTTTGGAAAATGGACTTACGCCACATTCAAAATAAACGGCTCATTTAGCCCAAAACAATAGAATTTCCATTGAGTCACATTATTGGACGTGAAGAGAGCCTCGTTCAAATTGCCCTTAACTCGTTAAAATTAAACGAGCAGTTACTTACGTATCTGAAATTATCTCGATCAAATTACTCGCTCAAATATTGACAAAAGATCTGTTTTACCTGCTCGCGTACAAACGAATATTACTGATTGAAAATTTATGAAATTCGATAAACTTGCTCGGGAAAATTCTTAACACAGTTAAATAAGTTCCATCGTTTTTTATTCCTCCGGGATATTTCTTTTTCGATCGATCTGTTTCGAGTTGCCGCCAACTAGGGGCAAACATTTTCAAAGTTGCTCGAAGGCACTACTCCGTTGGAATACCGAAGGCGACGAGTTTTGACTTTCTGCAAGAAAAGGTGGTGCTTTTTCGGTTTGAAAAATACAGAACTCGGGGAAAATTTGATCGAGAAACGTTGTGAAAACTTCTCAACGCGTAATTTTCGCTTAAGTTTGAAACTTACATTAGATGTAAGAAACTGTAACTCTTGCATAGAAAACATGTTCGTCGAACTAAAATTACGTATAATAATATCTGCTATGGTTTTAAGACAAAAACAGTGTAAAGTTATAACCAAATTAATACTATATAAAAATTTGACTTCTCTAAGGGAAATAAATTCTTTTTAGGTGTACTTATTCAACAAAGATTTTCGAAATATTGTCCGTCTGCAGTAATGTGAAAATATTCGTAGTTTTTCAATGGTAAACATACATATGGCAAATATGAAAACAATCGATTCGGTAGATTTCTCTTTAAAAATTCTTGGAGAACCCTCTTATTTAGAAGGAAATATCGTACGGCGGCCATTTTTCGTCGCCGTAGAATAGAAAGAAAGTAACGGAAAATTGGTTTTTTCAGAGCTTCAAAAATTTAACGACGGAATTCTAAAAACGAGAACAGAATTAAACTCGAGGCTAATGAATGCAATAATTGAGAGGGATCGTTGGAAAAACGCATCTCTTCGACAAAAGGAATTTATTATGAGGTACGTAATGAAATTACTCTTTTATTCTGATATTCCATGTATGCGCGTATCTGTGAACTAATATGAACTTGAAAGTATTCTAAAATCCCCGAAGACATACAGTATGTAACAAAAGTAAGCGAGCCTAGATCTTTTGTAACTTTCGATTAGATTGTTCTACCATCTATAGTTAAATTATCAACTGTCTATAATAGCTAACATCAGAGCCCTAATAGTGACTGTTTGCATGTACAATTTGCACAATTTATGTGTTAATTACCATTATTATATTGCGTGTATTCGATCTTGATATTTATACCAATTACAAAAGTAAGTGAAGTTTTTTATTTCTAAGATGTATTTTAAGATTATTTATTATGTATTATCAATTTATTGAGCCTAACTATCCTTTAGACGCATCGAGGCTCTATTATTATTAATGTACATGTCTTTAAATTCTTCCATATCTAAATGTCATTTATATTTTTGTATTAAGATTAATTCGGAAAATATGTCGAAAAATAAGCATGTGAAAAAAGAGGAAAAGAAAATTGTAATCAAAATGAAAGACGAAAGAAAGACAAATCGATAAGTTGGCCGATAAAAGTGGATGAGTTTTGGTTGCACTAAAGTCGAGACGTTAAGAAATGACTGATATTCGCTAAAATAAAAGAATAATTAGTATATCTGTACTTGATCTGTTTTTATCAGAAAAATTCGTTCGCAGGTATTACACGAAAGCAAAAATGCGCCGTCTTGTTGTCAAAAAATCCCTTGTATTAATTAAAAAAATAACCTAAAAAAGTGAATGGAATTTTATAATAAGAATGTTTTAAAAGCAATTTCATTCTGGAAAAATATTTTTTGGACCAATGAGTCCATGATTAGAATAAAGTACAATCATGGACGAATGTATGTTTGAAGGAGAAATAATGAATTATCACCTTATCAATGTGCTAAACCAACTTTTAAAGAAATGGGACAAGGCTTAATGGTTTGGAGATGAGTTTCATATTATGGGGTAGGAAGTATACCGTCATTTTAAAAGGAAAAATAAACGCTCAAGTTTACCTCAACTCGATGAAAGAAGACGAATTATAAGAGAGGAGTTTATCCTTCAGCAGGATAATGCACTTATTCACAAGGCAAAAGTTGCAATTAAATATTTACAAAATAGTTCCATAAATATTCTAAAATGGTCTCCACAGAGTCCCGATCTATTGTCTATAGAAAAGATATGGTCAATTTTAAAATTGCGTATCGCAGACAACAAACCACGTAATTTGGAAGAATTGCAGTCTTTAATAGAGACTATGTGGCAATCATTTAAAATCGAAGAATGTCAAAAATATACACTTTCCCCATCCGATAGATTAGTCAAAATATCCACTCAATGGGCATCATTGTGATTATTAAGCTCTTTCTAAAAATTATGTTCACTTACTTTTGTAACATGTACATACGATATGTTATAACATATGTATATACGTTTTCATTTTTTTCCTATAAGTAGATTCTAAATAATTCAAAGTTTAAGTAATGTAAGTGTCTAAAAATCCTTATAAAATGAAAATAAGTTTTATTTTATTGTATAAAATTAGATATTTAACTTCACCCAAATGATTTCCTATTGGAAGGTGAAGTGTTGACTTACTTTTGTTGCATACTGAATGTATTTAACTCACATTTCTGGCATTATATATACATATGTATATGCATATTTAATATGATATAATGTAAGACTTTTTATCTGTAATTTATAATGTTTTATAAGTTGGTTTCATTTATAAAAGTGTGTTGTTTCAGTGCCTGAAAAATGTTTAAAATCAGTGCAAAATTACATTGAAATTACATTAAAATCGTGCACTGAACCTTTTCTGTTGTCATTAAATAAACATACAATAAATAGCATACTTAAATAGCAGAGAATAGGTTATTATTTGCTTATTATTGGCTATCGTTGGCAAAAATCGTTACTATATCCGAGCCCTTGGTTGAAATATACACAAAAATAGAGTTGCAAAATAATAACTGATATTATAAATGGGAGTAAAAACTGAAGTAATCTTTTATTTTATGATTACAAATTACCAAAGACAAGTTACAAGTTCTGAAGGCACAATTACTTATTAATCTAAAAAATAATTAATCGATTAATAACACTTTTACTAATTAGCTATAAAAATAAACGAGAAACAGTCATCATCCAACTTTGAGAGTACATAATCGTATTTACTTAACGTCAATTATTTAAGTAACATAAAAAGTAAAATGTTTCAAAAGAAATGTTACTCCGAAACGAAGTAATTGTTATTCTAATTTCATAATGAAATAATTGGCATTAAAAGACGGGAGCATTTGATCCAATCTGTCCCAATTTATTTAGTCAACACCACGATTCTATGACTCCCTGTGTTCGAGCTTTCGGAGAATAAGATTGATTAACATTCGCTGTATGCGTTTACGTAGATTTGTACGATTCAATATAACCAGTGATTTCGATTTCCATTAATCTCGATTAGCCGTACATTATGAATCGGACGTACATTCCTTATCGAAATCTTGTAAAAAGGGATGATTCGACGGGAACGAAAACCAACGGACATGGAATTCGTATCGCCGAAAATCTACGAGAAATCCAATTGCATATCAGTACACATTGAACGAAATACCTCGACTATATCTGAAGCATTGAACGATATTCGCTCTTCGTCGTTTATCTGTTCTTCTTTTATAATTCGATAAGTTAGATTCTTTTTACCGTTGCTCGTTGCTCGTTGCTGTTCGTCGTTAAATTTAATTTGGCTTGTTTCTTACATTGTTACCATTTTTGCACATTAAAAAAAGATTCCAGCTTCTCTTCGTTCTATAATGGCTTAATTACGTGCAACTAGTTCATACGAATATTAAAGAATTCAAGATGTATTCAATGAAGAACAAAGAAGACAGTAATTTATACTGCGTGTCGTAACTATAAAACCACTCTAATATTTTCAAATTTTATATGTTGCTGTTAAAATAATGAAAAGCAAAGTGTACCATATTTGAAGTTGTGTTAAGAAACGATATTGTGCCAAAGAAGGATAAATTGTGTACTAGAAAAAGGAAGCTGATTTATTCTTGCTTCATAACTATAAAACCGGAATAAATTCTTATTAAACAAATTATACAAATATTGCATTGTAACGATAATTTAGTAACCTGTAGGACCTCCATTATTTTCAAGAATATCCATTAGCCGATTTCTCATATTTCAAATTAAAAATCATGTTGTATTTTGTACCTCGCCCCACGCTGTTGTAATTACATTTCTTAGTTCGGATATATTTTGATACTGCTTATTACCAACGTACATTTTTCGAACAATGATCCAAATGTTCTCTATGGGATTGTGGTCTGGTGAACACGCTGACCACTTTAAAACATCAATGTTACGTTCCTGTAGCCATGCTACAGTTGCACGACTGTTATAAATGGCATCGTTATCTTGTTGAAAAGTCCAATTTGTTTCTTTATTTTCATTTATAAATGGCAGCAATCGATTGTTTAGTATCTTAATATATTCGTTACTATTAACTTTTGTCGTCGGAAATGCTAGAAGTAGCATGCTAATGATCTCAAATATGGTATATTCCGTTTCTCCAAATTTCAACAAGAATATACAGGATTGTTTAGTACCTTAATATATTCGTTACTATTAACTTTTGTCGTCGGAAATGCTAGAAGTAGCATGCTAATGATCTCAAATATGGTATATTCCGTTTCTCCAAATTTCAACAAGAATATACAGGATGTTCAGCCACCTTTGGTAAAAATTTTAACGGGAGATTCTAGAGGCCAAAATAAGACGAAAATCAAGAATGCCAATTTGTTGATTGAAGCTTCGTTAAAAAGTTATTAACGTTTAAAGTTCCGCCTGTAGAACGGCAATCTGCGAACAGCTGCGTGCATACGATAGTGGTTCTCACTCAGCGTGAGAAACTCTACTTACTGACGTATCGACAGCCTTACAGTTCTGTAAGTGAGAACCACTAGCAGCTGTTCGCAGTTTGACGTTCTACAAGCGAAACTTTAAACGTTAATAACTTTTTAACGAAGCCTCGATCAACAAATTGGTATTCTTGATTTTCGTCTTATTTTGGCCCCTGTAGATAAGATTGAAAATTTTAGGGTGGTTTTGTAATTATGACACACAGTGTATTCATCGTACACTGAATTTTGTGTAAGTAAAATATAGCACACAATAAGATTTTGTTAATAACAATAAACGGTAAATAGCACAATAGACGTCTACCCAATTGGTGAACTCTAAGACAACGAAGTTAGAAAATGTATTCGCATTAAAAGCGAGATAAATACCGTTGCTCAGCGTACAATCACCATGCTCTCTCCGCTATCTTCGTTCTGATTTCCTTTCCATTTTAAGTAATATTTTATCGTTTAACTTCCCTCTTCCTACCATTCGGCGAACTGCGGGTATCTTTTCTCCAATTACGAAAGTGTTTTGTTGCTTCTATTCCACGCAGTGCCCGATGAATCGTTTATCCTTTCGTTGGCGTCTCGCCTTCGTGTCCCGGTTGCCTCGCAAATCGCTTAATTATAAAACGCGTATAATTAACAACGTCTTCCCGGTCGCATTTACGCAATCCCTTTTAGCTGGCCAGCGGGCCCCCCTCGTGCCTGAACGAGTCCATTTGAAACTTCTTAATTAACGAGCAGACTAATTTAAAGGTAGTCAGTTCTACCCACGAATGCGCCCAATTTCCGTATTTTCTGGCTTGGGGGGAAACGCCGACGGGCAATTTGCATCTTGACGCCGGCCACGTATCTCGAATTTACAACATTATTTGTTGGGAAACGGTAAGGAGAACCAGATGCTATCGATAAACTGTCTCTGCCTTTAGTCGTTCATTTTTCTCGGTTCGGTTTTCTCGCCAAGATTTACGTGCCTTCGACGAGTCTGGGACGATATTTACAATTATTCTTGGCACGTAATCGCTGCAAATTGCTGTCAATTCTTG